ACTTTCCGTCTCCACGTGACGTCTCTGCCCCAGATCTTTGGGGATAATTACTTGAATAGTAAGGTGACCAACCTTTTTACAATGAGAAGGAGGACACAAATAAATTGAAGAAAAAAAGTGAGTCTAATGCGTGCGTGTGCCGTGTTGTGTTTCGGTAAGAAGTAAACAAAGCCACTTGCGTGCGGCACACTCTTGCGCGCGGCGCACTCTCTCAAAACAATTCTCCTGTGTGGAGCGCACGCGTCTCATAATCGCGTCTCGCCACACTGTACCGAGCCTTGACGAATCATCATGTCAAATACAAATACGTCACATCACACGCAACGGAGCGGATCGGCATCGATCGAATACGGAGATTTACAGATTAGTCTTCAAATATTGAAAAGGAGGACATGTGGGAGGACACTTTTCGAGAGAGGACAGAACTTACAAAAGAAGGACTTACATAAGGTGACGATTGGTCACCTTATGAATAGAAGTGCTGAACTCTTCAGCTCTCCGTTTATTGAAATCTGGGTTATTTTAGTCCCACAATTGACTCGAAACAACTTCATGCTACAAATCAGCAAAGCCCCTGTCAATCTTGGGTGCACTTATAAAAAGCATCTCTCTCTCCTCTACCTTTCCAGAATCTTGTCTCCCTGCTGGCACCACCATTTAGCTCAGGGCACCATCATCCACTTGCCAGCCTCCTACTTTTCTTCCAAGCAAACTTCCTCCTGTCCTTGCTTTAGCTCCTTCCAATCTCTCTCTCCCTCTCACACCCCTCTGTGCCTCCTCTGGAAGGCCATTACTGGCCAAAAGCCACAAATGCCATTACCCAAAAGACCCCTCCGGCCATTTCAGTTTGGAACCATGCAGAGAACACCGCAGCATCCCACTTTTTTTGGTAGGCGGACAAGTACCTCAAACATACCGCTTTCTGGTTGGACATGGACTTCCCACAGCTGTCATTTTTGGACCCTGCATGGTTCAAGCCAGAGATAGTTGGTAACTAGTAAAAATGTCCTCCGAGATCAGGGGTAGGCAACCTTGGCTCTTTGATGACTCGTGGACTTCAACTCCCAGAATTCCTGAGCCAGCGTGGCTCAGCTTGGAAACTTCTCCCTTTCCCCTCAGCGTGGCTGGCTCAGGAATTCTGGGAGTTGAAGTCCACGAGTCCACTTCTCCCTTTCCCCTCAGCATGGCTGGCTCAGGAATTCTGGGAGTTGAAGTCCACGAGTCATAAAAGAGCCAAGGTAGCCTACCACTGGCCTAGGCCTAGGCCGCTTTATGACTCGTGGACTTCAACTCCCAGAATTCCTGAGCCAGCATGGCTCAGCTTGGAAACCTCTCCCTTTCCCCTCAGCGTGGCTGGCTCAGGAATTCTGGGAGTTGAAGTCCACGAGTCACAAAAGAGCCAAGGTGGCCTACCCCTGGCCTAGACCTAGGGAGTGGCTGATGACCCATTCAAAGTCAGATCTGATGCTCCTGGGCTCAGATTTCAGGGGACGCTACTTGTGTGGTGGATTCTGAGGACCACCAGCAAACATTTCAAAACAGAGCCAAGCAATTGGTTGTCATAGCAATTTGTGTATTGAGAAGCGGTCCAAATCATATTCTTTTCCCAACTCCCTTTTCTCAGTTCCGGAAGGGAGGGAAGGAGGGGCTCTAAAATATATTCCTAATGCGGAAAAGAAGGAAAATGCTGCTTTGTAAATACTCGGCTCCATAAAAACACCTGAACAGAGAGACACGGTGGCTGAGTCATGCTTTGGGTTGGAAGGGGAGGGGTTAATATTTATTCATTTTTCCCTCCTTGTGAACTCTGAACCTTAAAGGAATCCTTGGCATGCTGGATTTCCTTCCAGAAATTGTCTAGAACAGTGATGGCAAACCTATGGCATGCGTGCCAGAGGCGGCACTCAGAGCCTTCTCTGTGGGCACACCTGCCACCGCCGCCACCAGCTCATGCAGGTCCATTAGGCCACTGCTGGTGCCCGAAGTGGCAGCTTCACCCAGCACAAAGGAGGTGAAGCAGCTGGCTAGCAAGCTTGAGTAGAGGTGGTAGACCATGCGCTCGCTGGCCTCTGTGTGTGGGGACTGATGGTGTCAGGCAGCAGCTGCCCCTGCCTCGCCATGCCCTGCAGCAATGGCACCCCGTCCTACCCCCTGCCTCGCCCCGCAGGACGAGCCTCCTGCCCACCGTCCCACCCACCAGAGACCCCCTGGATCTCCCCCAATCCTGCCTAGCCCCCACAGGCGTCTCGTCCACGAGCAACATCAAGGTGGCCATGCCCACCCTCGCCATGCCCACTCAGTCTGCTGTGACATCTGCAGCCATGCCCACCCAGTGGGCCATGCCCACCCCCCACCCCCGAGGGCACCACAATGGCACTTTGCAATAAATAAGTGGGTTTTGGGTTGCGGTTTGGGCACTCGGTCTCTAAAAGGTTCGCCATCACTGGTCTAGAATCATCCTTCAGCTTCCCCTTGGTTTATCTCAGGATCTGTTTGATGTTTGCAAATATTAATTGGTCGGCCCAACTTCCCCTTGCAAATTAGTCTTTGACGAGGGGGGAGCTGACCTGCTTGCTGCAGACTTGAGCCCTTATTTTGCCCCACTTTACCCCTATATGCCACTTGGGAGCTGGGTAAGAGGGGTCCTTGGCTGTTGTGGAGAAACATTTGTGACCATGTTTATGGGCTTCAGCATCACGATCCTGGCGTACTTCTAAATAAACCACATCTTGAATTTTCCCTCCCTCCGCCCATTTTTGAACAAAGCCATTGAGCTGTAAAGTTTATCTAAAACAAATAATATTTTTGTCTTGCAGATCTGACGTGGTGGTGTTGTGCTTCTCCATTGCTAACCCTAACTCCCTGAATCATGTGAAGACAATGTGGTGTCAAGAGATCAAGCACTTCTGCCCTCGGACCCCTGTGATTCTGGTGGGCTGCCAACTGGACCTTCGCTATGCCGATCTGGAAGCTGTCAATCGAGCCAGGAGGCCATTGGCAAGGTAGGGTTGAATGCGGATTAAAAAAAAAAACCCCGTGGCAAGGCGACATCTTGGCTCCTAAGGAAGCATTTGAAATGGCCTTGCGTGTCTAATTTCTTTAGTTTATGATACAGTACAGGAAAATAAAAACAAAATTAATAGCAAATTCCATACCTGGGGAAGGGGGTCTTTCAAATAGGCAGGAAGTCTTCTCAGATGTTGAAGACTTTGGGCATCAAACCCTGTGGTCTTCATGGGGCATCTGGAAAAGGGAAAGCGTGAAGGCCAAAGGATCACAAGAACGCATCCCTTGATGGGTGGGGTCCACTAGTTCAGGGCTTTTCAACCTTTTCACCCATTGTGCTACTTTTAGGATAGGGCAACATCCGAATACCATCAGTCGCCTAGCAAGGTGTCAAAAACTTGATGACCAAAAAAAAAAAAAAAAAAAAGGAAAAAAGTGATAAAGTATAGGTAGTCCTCGACTTACAACAGTTTGCTTAGTGACTATTCAAAGTTACAATGACACTGAAAAAGTGCCCCCCAAGCCACAGCCGAGCAAGACACCTGCCTGCCCGCCCGGCCGCGCTCTTCCTCCTGTCCGAGGTTTTCATTGTTGTGAGCATTTCTGTTGAGGATTGGCAGGTGGGGTGGGGGGTGTTTGGTTTTTATTCCCCCCGTCTGCTGGGTGGTTGCAGCAGGTTTTGGTCACTTCACATGACCCTGGGACACTGTGACCATCATAAATATGAATCAGTTGCCAAGCATCTGAATGTAAATCACAAGACCCTGGGGATGCTGCAACATTCCAGCTGATCGGCGCTTCTTCTGGGCTCAGCAGAAGCGCCAGGATCAATGCTGCTTTCCAGCTGATTGGTGCTTCTTCAGGGCTCACCAGAAGTGCCAGGATCAGCGCTGAGCTCCACCTAGAGCCTGGTGCTGATCCTGGCATTTTCACTGAGCCCTGACAGTCCCGAAGAAGTGCCAATCAGCTGGAAAGCGGCACTGATCCTGGCGCTTCTGCTGAGCCCTGACAGCCCTGCAGCTCCAGCCATCTCTCACTCAGGCTTGTGCGGTGCTGCCACCGGTTCAGCTCATTCCCCTTCCCCCGCTACCACTTTTCTAGGATGGTCGCGTACCACCTGCCAGGTGCCAATGTACCACAGGTGGTACCTGTACCACTGGTTGAAAAGCCCTGCACTAGTTCTATTCAGTGAGCCTGACCAAGGTGACCTCTTCTTTTTCACTCCATTTTGTTTGCAGGCCTATCAAGAAGGGAGACATCCTGCCACCAGAAAGAGGCAGGGAAGTTGCTAAAGAGCTTGGCATACCCTATTATGAAACCAGCGTCTTTGACCAGTTTGGCATCAAGGATGTGTTTGATAATGCAATCCGAGCAGCCCTCATTTCCAGGAGACACTTGCAGTTCTGGAAATCCCATTTGAAGAAAGTCCAGAAACCTTTGCTCCAAGCTCCATTTCTACCTCCAAAGGCTCCTCCCCCTGTTATCAAGATCCCAGAGTGTCCCATCCTCAAGATCAATGACGTGGGATACTTACTGGACAATCCCTTGTGTGCAGATGTGCTGTTTATTCTTCAGGAACAGACTCAGATTTTTGCTCACAAGATCTACTTAGCTACCTCTTCGTCCAAGTTTTATGACCTTTTCTTAATGGAATGTGAAGAAACACCCGACTTGACTGAAAGCTTTTGTAGTAAAGGTAGCAATCTCCCCGCCAGAACCTGTAGCCTTGAAGCAGTTGATCAGGAAGCTGAAGGGGCAGCTGCAACACTTTCTGCTTCAACTGAGGGCCTCCAGGTGGAGCCTGAAGCAGGAGAAGCCACCTGCCCAAAACAGGGTCCAACGCTCTGGGGCAAAGGTTTCATAAGCCTACATCAAGAGATGCAGATTAACCCCATTTCGAAGAGGGTCTGTGCAGTGACGGTGGTCAAGATGGAGGCTTCCATCCAACCGGGACCTTTTAAAACCGTCCTGCAGTTTTTATACACCGGGCAGCTGGACGAAAACGAAAGGGACCTCACCCGGGTAGCTCAAATTGCTGAGATCCTGGAAGTGTTTGACTTGCGGATGATGGTAGAAAACATAACCAACAAGGAAGCCTTCATGAACCAGGAAATTACAAAGGCTTTCCACGTCCGGAAGGCTAACAGAATAAAAGAATGCCTCTGTAAGGAGACCTTTTCTGGTGAGTCTACACAGAAATATCCCTCTACCTTGCATTTTGTTACCATTTGCTAATCAGGATCCCCGGGATGGATTTGTGCAAAGCAAGATGCAATTCGGATGTTCTGAAGGGTTCAGGAAGGGAAGTTTGGTGCCCACAGCCTAAAATTGTGCCCTACGACGGGTCATGATGTATTCCTCGATGCGATACATCTTTACAAAAAAAGGCAAATCCGCCCCTTCGCCCAATCATTTTCGAAACCTGGAGAGAGTTGTCCTCCAGTTGTAGAATGGGGGGAAGGTGCAGATGCTGTTGAAAGAGAGATCTAAGTGTGGGTCTCCGCTTGGAAGACAGTCTGATTCTGTTCAAGCGTTGGGAAAAAGTCAGAATTCACAGGGAGACGGGCAGAAGTAGGAGACCTCTTCCTTGCTGGCCCTGTTGCAGGAGGTGTGAGTGCCTTTGACAGTCAGTTCCCCCAAGGCACCTTGGGGGTGACCGTGCTCGGGGTCCTGATGCATTTTAGCTCCTTTGGTGATAACTGGGTAGGGTTTCCCTTCTTTTCTTTCTTCCCCGTCCGGTTCCTTCTTCTTTTGCTTCATCTTAACCCAGTTTCGTTTCCCCTTTCTCTTTTACTCTTCCGCCACCAGAATTACAATTCTAGCTTTTGGGAGGTGAGGGGGTGAGGGATGGAAGCCTCCGCCTCCAACGGTTTACATGGGCTGTTTTGTTTGCAAGGATACCTGTGTCACTCTCTAGCCCTTAGCTTTCAGTATATGGGAAATGATGTTTTATTGGGTACAGTTATGGTCCATCTGATTCAAGAGGGTCTCCGGCAGTAGTTCTGCAGACAGGAGACCTTCCCAGCCCTTCTGGGCTACCTCTGAGTCTCTCTGCCCTGACACAGCTGCTCGACTGCTAATTCTGGGACTTGGAGCTGTTTGAGTGGAATACAGTATCTGAGTGTATATTGGAAGATAATTAAATGGCAAGTATTTGGGGCTACAGGAGCTTAATTCCACTAGGTGGCAGCCAAAGAATATGGAAAATACAAGGTACGTGTGCCACCTAGTGGCCATATGGAGTTTTGCAACTAAGGTTAAGAAGCTCTAATGTTAGAACCCGCAGTTGGGGGACTTGAACTGCGACTGGGGAGACCAGGATCAAGCCCATGATGGTCCCCTGGGTGATTTGGGGGCCAGCCACCCTCCACTCAACCTACTTCACAGGGTTGTGGTTGCAGGCAGGAACAAAGGGAGACCCCCACCTAAGCCCCCTCAAGACAGAATATAAATATTATTATTATTAGCAATACTACTACTGTGTTGTGGCATTTACATGACCCATGAAGCTGTGATAAATTTGACCCGTTTTCATTTTTGCCAGTGACACTCTTGAACAACCTCAATCAGCAAGAACTCCTGGCGTGGTTCCTGTGATGGAAGCTCAGAGTTTAATTGCCTTGTTGCTCATTTAAACATTAATATTTGCCCTTCCGGATGTCCTCAATGAAGGACCTTCTTTGCAGAAATTCTGCAAAACAGCAGATCACGTGCTTTCTCCCATGTTCTTCCTGATTCACACATTTGACTGCAAGCACCAGCAGTCACGGGTTGTTACTGTGTTCCTTTGATCCCTTAACAGATGTGGTATTCGTGTTGGAAGACGGAAAGATAAATGCTCATAAACCACTTCTAATCTGTAGCTGTGAATGGATGTCTGCAATGTTTGGAGGATCCTTTGTGGAAAGCTCAAACAGTGAGGTACCGTATTTGTCCTCTTTGGCCCGTAAGCTCAAAGCTTTGCTCTGGAGAAGGAACTTGGTTTAGGGTTGCAAGAAGGGCATGGGAATCCCTTGGTGACGTCTCTTTGGGGATCCCTCTTCTCCAGTCTGTCTTCTGCACTAGTTCTCAGAAGATACCTGGCTCCTGATTGTCAGGGAGTTGGTGGGATGGGGAGGTTGTAAGTGGAAAAGCTGGTCTCCATCTCCCATCAGATCTCAGTCCCAGGAGTGAAAAACCATGGTGAACCAGTTGAATCTCATCTTCGTTCAGTTCTGCCTAGTTTGTAAAATTGGCACTGCCTTAAACGGGAAATGTTAGAAAGATCAGTGGGTCACCAGGCTATCGGGGAGAACAATTTTCATCTCCTACTTTGGCATGAAGTATTGGAGTGAAGCATTGAAAGACGAGGAGTAGAAGGAAAGACACCACCGTGCTTATGAATGACCTCAAAAAACAGCAATAGCAGCTTTGATGAATTTTTAGCACCATCTAAAATGATCGTCCCGTTTTTCCTTATATTTCAAGGGAGGAAGAGAGAGGGAGGGAGGGAGGGAGGGAGGGAGGGAGGGAGAGAGAGAGAGAGAGAGAGAGAGAGAGAGAGAGAGAGAGAGAGAGAGAGAGAGAGAGAGAGAGAGATTATACACTTAATATTCTGGAAGCTGTGTTCTACTAAAAAAAAAATCTCATTACTTTTGAAACAGCAGTAAGCATAATTCCCTCCCTGGAGGCACCCCCAGCAGGTGGTTCATGAAAAATACATACCTTGATTCAGTAAGCTGTGCTCTAAAATACACACACACACACACACACACACACACACACAATCTGGTTCCTAATTATAACCACTAATAACGTGCTTTCTTCTTGGAAATCTTAAATATTAATTGCAAAGCCGTATTTTTTTTTTCATAGCACATGAAGCTCTGTGTGCCCATCGTCTTTCACTGCCTTGTTTGGGGAGAGTGATGGGACTGGAAGGAGCAGAGGCTGGTTCAAGAAGTGGGTAGTCTGGGTAGTTCCACATAAATATAATGAGCCCCTTCTAATTTATTTATTGTTCTGAAATTCTGCAGGAAGCACAGGTTATTTGCAGCAATAAGTTAGGCATTTGTGCTCAGTCTCTGTAACAGCCAGTAAAAAAAAAAGGGGGGGGGAGAAATCTCCTCTCCTGAATCATTGCTGAGATGGTGGGTCTTGATCCTCCTCTGGTGGCAACTCTACATGTTCTCCCTGGCTTTGTATGTTTTATAAAGTGGTTGCCATGGATGCTTGTGCCTAGTCCAGGGATAGGCAATCTGGGCTCTTTTATGACTCGTGGACTTCGACTCCCAGAATTCCTGAGCCAGCCGTGCTGAGGGGAAAGGGAGAGGTTTCCAAGCAGAGCCATGCTGGCTCAGGAATTCTGGGAGTTGAAGTCCACGAGTCATCAAAGGGCCAAGTTTGAAGACCCCTGGTTTAAATATTTTTTCCTCACAGTCACGTGATCAAAATTCAGGCATTTGGGCAGGGGTAGGCCACCTTGGCTCTTTTATGACTCGTGGACTTCAACTCCCAGAATTCCTGAGCCAGCCGTGCTGAGGGGAAAGGGAGAGGTTTCCAAGCTGAGCCCTGCTGGCTCAGGAATTCTGGGAGTTGAAGTCCACGAGTCATAGAGCAGCCTAGGCCTAGGCCAGAGATAGGCAACCTTGCCTCTTTTATGACTCGTGGACTTCAATTCCCAGAATTCCTGAGCCAGCCACGCTGAGGGGAAAGGGAGAGGTTTCCAAGCAGAGCCATGCCGGCTCAGGAATTCTGGGAGTTGAAGTCCACGAGTCATAAAAGAGCCAAGGTTGCCTACCCCTGTCCTAGTACAAATGTTCTTTGAGAAATTGCATGGGTAATGCAAGAAATTTGTGTGGGGGGCTCATCTCCACCAGAGGAGAAACCCTGGAGAAGAGTTTGGGCTCAAAGCACATGTAACTTTGTGATTGCCTCTCATCCGAGATCTGAGCCTGCTCTGTTTTTCCACAATCAGCCATGGGCTGTGATGAGGACATATGATTCTTCTGTAGGAGAAGAACCGTTTGTCTCGACAGAACAATGCAACGAGTAACGGGACATCGACGAACAGGTCCAGTCTTGATTATCTGGATTGACCTTTGTCAATACTTTCTCCTTCTTGGATTTCAACCGGTCTTTCTGGGTTTAATTCAGGAGGGGGAAGATGGGCAGTAAAGTAACAAAAATCTCGAAAACCTGATGCACTGGTGTGTCTTGAGGGACCTTCTGCTCTTGCTTCATTCTGTCTCCTCCATTCCCCAGCATAAGCATTGATTCTTTGGAGAACATGACTTTGAAAGTGAAAAAAAACAAAACATTGCGGAATTATTGAAAGCAGTTGTCCTAAGGAAAGGTAATACTGCAAAGGGCTGAAAAATAATCAGATCCCAGAAAGCATCTCTGGATTATTTTTAGCTTCATGGTGTTTATATTAAGGGTAGAAGGGTAGAAAATTGCTCCCAAAATAGAGTCCTTGACCTTGTTTTTGCACACTGTGCCTATGCATTCTTCATCATTTTCCAGCTTAGTCCCCTTCCTTGCAGGGACATTTGGCATAGATCCCTAATGTGTAGGTATATGTGTGCCTGTGCACACAAAACAAACAATGAAAGGCTCTTTTCACTGTTCATTTTGGGAACTTTGTGATGATGATGATGATGATGATGATGATGATGATGATGATGATGATGATGATGATAATAATAATAATAATAATAATAATAATAATAATAATAATAATAATAATAATAATAATAATAATAATAATAAAGTTGGAAGGGACCTTGGAGGTCATCAAGTCCAGCCCCCTGCTCAGGCAGGTAACCCTATACCGTTTCGGACAAATGGCTGTCCAGTCTCTTCTTAAAAACTTCCAGTGTTGGAGCATTCACCGCTTCTGGAGGCAGGTTGTTCCACTGGTTAATCGTTCTAACTGTCAGGAAGTTTCTCCTTAGTTCTAGGTTGCTTCTCTCCTTGATCAGTTCCCATCCATTGCTTCTTGTCCTGCCTTCAGGCACTTTGGAGAATAGCTTGACTTCCTCTTCTTTGGGGCAGCCCCTGAGATATTGCAAGGCTGCTATCCTGTCCCCCCTCGTCCTTCTCTTCGTTAAACTAGACATACCCAATTCCAGCAACCGTTCCTTATATGTTTCAGCTTCCAGTCCCCTAATCATCTTTGTTGCTCTTCTCTGTATTCTTTCTAGAGTCTCAACATCTTTTTTTACATCGTGGTGACCAAAACTGGATGCAGTATTCCAACTGTGGCCTTACCA